CCATATAAATTAGCCATTGGGTCTATTATGTATGATATGCTTTGTACAAGACCTGACCTTAGTTTTGCAATAGGATATGCCAGTAGATTTCAAAGTAACTCAAGTATGACTTACTGGCAAACAATTAAAATGATACTCAGATATATCTAAGGAACCAAACATTATAAATTATGCTATCAGGCTGATAACCTACAAATTCAAGGAATCTCTGATGCAGACTTCGCAGGAGATCCTGAAGAGAGAAAATCCATTTCTGGATATCTTTTCCTCTTTGGCGGAGGTTATATTTCTTTGTTTAGTAAGAAATGAGAATGTGTTACCCGGTGCACAATGGAAATGGAATGCATCTCTTGTAATATAGCTTCTACTATTGTCATATGCATAAGCTGTTTCATTAGGGAGTTGAAACTGAAAATAGCCGACGAACCAGTTTAGATATTTTGTGATAACCAGACTGCAATTTTGTTAATTAAAAATACAGCAATGAGCTTTAAGGGCAGACATATAGAAGTTCATTATCACTATATCCTAGAGAGCAAAGAATAAAGAAATTACAGTAAGTTATTTACTTTTCAATGATATGATAGCAGACCCTCTAACAACGTGATTGACTGTTGAAATATTATCCAAATATGTGACCATGATGAGACTTAAAGAAATATAGTTTTTCTTCCCAATAGGTACCTTTTGAATGCCACAAAGAATTAAATACTATAGGTAAGCAAAACTTTGTAGCGAAGCATATCACATTGGGTAAAACCTTAAATGGGCAAAACCTTGTGGCTTAGCAATGTTGGTGCATTTAACCTTTTGGTCAACTGGGAGTGTTAGAGTATAGCTACTAAAGCCTCATAACCACCATAGTGTTCATGGTCCCTATCTTACCTTCTATTTTTAAATGCATTTCATTCAATTTAATTATATTATATACTTGTTATAAGGGTTTCATTGCATTCAAATCATTTGGCTATCTTTTATGGTTACTCACTTTCTTTTTTTTCTTAACAACCCATCGATGATATTCTAAAGGTAACATTAAACCAAACATTTTTCTTTTGGGTAAGAGAGAGAGAGAGAGAGAATGATAAGAAAAAGAAGGCTTAGCTATTGATACATGCAGAGAGAAATCTAGACTATTGGATGCAAAACCTACCATATATGGTAAGATGATAAGCTCCAATGCATATAAAAGGGGCTCACTCACCTATTACAAAATATAGAAAAAATCTCAGAGTCATGGCCTATATCTCTAGCTATCTATAAGCTTGACAACCAAATTTTTTTTTATATCTATCTTTCTCTCTCTATCATTTTCACTCGATTTTTTTTAATTATTTTTTACAATATTTAAGTTGTGAGTTTGTTGTTCGGTGTTCGAAATATCGGATCGTGTTTGGCTGCTGTTAAACATTGTGAGCCCCATTTCGCTGCTCAGCTCTCTATTTTCTCTATAAATTGAAATGGGGTTGGCAAAGTTTAAGAGCAGTTAAGTAACTGTCAAGTATTTCGAACACCAGACAACAAACCCACAACTTAAAAACGTTCTCCAGATGTCTAGTAATAAGAACATTGAACAACCTTTTGCTTTGAAAGATATAAACCCCCCCATATCCGGTATTTGCCTTATAAACCAATCTTCATCAGCCTTCTCTCTCAACAAAATTCCTTCTCGTCAATCTCTCACTAAGTCACCGTAAAGTTCTCTCTCTCTACTAATCTACTCACACCACCTTCTCTCTCTAAACATCATCTCCCTTCAAGGCAAGCAAGGCTCTGTGTCTTTGAAGATGGGGGGAGTTCAGAAGTGGTTATTGTTGGGGCGTCTGAGGAGGGAAATCCAAACGATGAAGTTTTTGCTATCATTCAACATGAATAAATTGAGAGTTGTAGCACTTATAGTTTTGAGCAGGAAGCGTTTGAGCTTTTCAAGAACCAGCTAGGCTCATTAAGTGCACAAATGTGGAAGGGGATTGAGCCCAGGTACCCCTGATATTGATAAGAGGGCAAAGGAATTCATAGCCAAATTTTACAGGAGAAAAAAGCATCATTCTTTCCTCCTCTTTGTGGAATAGTTTTTGGGTGTTCTCTTTATCTCTTTATAACAGTCTTTGTTGGGGGTTTTGGGTACTGCCTTTGCAATGGTCTATGTGTAATGATTTTTTGGGTTATCATGGTCTGTATATAGTTCAAAAAATGGACTCATCCGAGGTACTCGGCCCTGGCTGAGGCGATCTACTCGGGTGAGTCAAAATAACTTACCCAAATCCAGCTCTCTTTTTCTTTAAATAAAATGAAGATAAAAACTAAGTTGTATATAGTAAAGGGAAAGCTTTCTATGTTCTCCCTACAACCTAGAAGTTCTCTCCTCCCCTACCATCCAGCCGTCCATTTTTTATCAAGAGAGTCACTCACCATTTGATTTTAGATCCGACATCTCAAAGTATTTTATTTTAGTTTTTTTAATATAAATTTTCTGAATATGAAATTTGGTACATGCCATCTTTTCATTGCGGCGCACCTATAAAAAATATTAACAATAATTTTTTGATAAAAAATAATGATCAAAATACCCTTTGAATCTTTCAGGGGTATTTTGGTCATTTTATTTTATCAAAAATATTTTTTTATATTTGTTGTTAGTGCGAATTTAATAGAGGAATGGACGTCCAAAATTTGGTATCAAAATAGTTTATAGAAAAAATTAAAAATAAAACAGTGTAGAGAAGTGACATTGTGATTGGGGCAATCTTAGCTCTTCATTAAAAAATGGAAGGTTGGATAAGGAGAGGATAGAACTTCTATGTTGTAGGGGGAACATAGAAAGCTTTCCCTACGGTAAAAGTACCACTTTTATTGTGAGGGTGCATATACACATGTTGGTTATTGTTGGTTGTAGGATCCACTCTTGTGGGAGGCTAACTTTTTTTAAACTCCAAAAAGGAGGACTCTTTAAAGGGAAAAGTTTATATAAGGTTGCAACTTTAAAATGTAGACTTACGGATGCACTTCAAAAATATATTGGAAATGTTGTTTTAATGTTGAAAATGTCCTCTAATCAATCATCTCAACATCGAGATCCATGAATATAAAAATAAATAAATAAATTTGAGTCTTGGAAATAGTGCATCTTGCAACACATTAGTTAGACCGTCAATTTTCAAGTTTTTCATATATTTATAGATCTGCTTGATTTTAACCATTTTTTAAATTTAAATTTTTTTAATTGGGTATTAAAATAGATTTTAAGATAATACTAATAATTTTTCACAAAAAATTATATTTTATGATAAAATTTTAAGGTGCACCTTAATTGAATTGTGTAAGATTGCTACCTCATAGAAACTGCACCCCTCTTTAAAAGTACAATGTAAAAAAAGGACGGCTTGAACTTTACACAGCCCAAGAACATTTTTATATATCTAATTTAGGTTGGAGGTTTTAATATAATTAAACTAATTTAGGTTGGAGGCTTTAATATAATTAAACTAAAAAAATTTAAACTCTAAAAAGGGTATTTTAAAAGTACAATATAAAAAATACGATAGGTTCGACTTTAGGTGTAACAACCAAAAAGATATTTTTACATACCTAATTTAGGTTGGAGGTTTTAATAGAATTAGACTTTTTAAAAGTACAATGTAAAAAAAGGATGGCTTCCACTTTACATAACCCAAAAAAAGCATTTTTACATATCAAATTTAGGTTGGAGGTTTTAATATAATTAAACTAAAAAAAATTTAAACTCTAAAAAAAGTATTTTAAAAGTACAATATAAAAAAAAGGATGACTTTATGTGTAACAACCAAAAAGACATTTTTACATATCTAATTTAAGTTGGAGTTTTCAATATAAGGATGCAACCTTATAATGTAGAACTACACGTGCCCCAAAAAAATCCATCCGAAAAGGTGTTTTAATGTTGAAAAGCCCTTTGATTGATCATCTCGACATTGAGATGTATGACTATGAAAAATAAAACTATTTTAACTCTCAGAAATCGTACATTTTACAATATATTATCTACACCGTCCATTTTTAATATTTTCATATGTTTATAGATCTACTTGATTTTAGCCATTTACAACATATTATCTACACCATCCATTTTTAAGATTTTCATATGTTAATAGATCTACTTGATTTTAACCATTTTTGAATTTTTAAATTTTATAATTAGATATAAAAATGGATTTTGAGATAATCCTAATAACATTTTACACAAAAATTATATACCAAGATAAAATTTGAAGGGCACCTTACCTCTACATCTTCAAAGGCGTCTTAATGCCAACTGCACCCTTAATATAATTAAACTAAAAAAAATGTAGAAATACCAACTCGGCCAAAACTCGCCTCGAGTCACCTTGGCCGAGTTTCAAAACACTGGTCTATGTGGCTTTTTCTCTCTCCTCCTTTTGGGTTCTCGGCCGATACTAGCTGGCCCATTCAAAGCCCGGCCCAGAAAATGGATTGCCTTGTCCAGGCCCGAACCGAAGCCGTAAAATGAAGCCCGGGAATGGCCCGAACCATTGGCAGCCCTATTTGTTGGTGATTGCAAACCCCATGGAGTTCATGATTTCACCAGCCAGCAACTACAATTGCTCATGTCATTCGCTCTCTCCTCGTCTAGTCTATTCGGCCTATGCAATAACAGTAGATAAAAGGAGCAAATAGTTATCCTTCCCATGCTTTCTCTCTTTAAAACCACCACCTAACCACTTTATAATACGTCTTTCCTCTCTGTATATCTGATTGTTTCGTCCAGTCCACTGCATGTTTGGATGAAAGGGGTAAATAATTCATTATAATTTCTCCTTTTGCTTTCTCTCTCCATGTGCATGTGGGAATTCATCCATGAAATGAATGAGCAACAAAGGAGAGCTGTACGGGTACCATAATAACAGTAGCAGGGTATTAATGAAAGTAGGCATCCTTCTCTTGAGAGAGAAAATATAGAGAACTTTGAAACAGGGAGAGAGAGAGGTTTGAGAGTCATGAAGCTGGAGTGAGAGAAAGTGAGAAGGGGGAAGAGTGATATATAGGTAGAGAGAGAGAGAGAGAGTTGGTGGACAGGGTATAAAATGGGTGGTGGTGGTTGTTTAGAGGAGGATGAGGAGGAGGAGGAGGAGGAGGAGAAGAGAAAGGGTGAAATCTCAGCGCACCCACTCTTTGACGCTTTGGTTGCTGCCCACACTGCCTGTTTGCGCGTCGCCGCTCCCCTCCATCTCCGACCTCTACTGCGATGCAACTCGACAACTCTCAGAAGCCATCACCCTCACTCTCAACCCCCCAACTATGAGCTCGATCAGTTCTTGGTAACACTGTACCATCTCCCTCTCTCTCTAGACACGCACATCATTTCTCTCTCTCTCTCTAAACACAGTTCCATTTCTCTCCCTCTCAACCAGAAACACACAATATCTCTCTCTCTCTCTCTCTCTCTTAAGGTGGGTGTTAGTTTTGCAGGTTGAGTACGTATGTTTACTTGGGCGTTTGAAGGAAGAGTTGGAAGAACATGTCCGCCTCCACGCTCTCCAGGCACTCATGGATTGCTGGGAAATTGAACGCTCCTTCCAAGCTCTCACAGGTCTTTCTCTAGAATTCCATCATATTAATATTAAAAATTTAATATTGCAGAAAGGACAAGGTTTCTACAGGTGCTAGGACTCGTATGTAGAAATGAGTCCTCTCTTAAAAATTCAATTTTGACATGGATTTTGGACCTAATTTTTAGGTAATGCATAATTTTGAGGGTGTGGATTGTATAGAGCCTAGGCTCTAAACAATCAAATTAGATCCTACCTTCAAATAGTGTCCAGAAATGTGGTTTCAAATCTTGTGATAGCCTTAAAATATATTTCTATCTTTATTTATAAAGCTTAAATCTTAAAAAATAGTATAGATCGATAGATCTATGAAATCTTGAAAATTGATGGTCTAAAAATGTGTTACAATATACACTATTTTTAAAACTTGAAATTCATTTTTTTTCTGATGTCTATCCATCTTGATATCGAGATGATCAATTTGAGGATATTTAGCCATCAAAGCAACCTCTTCTAGTGAAATGCTTTATATAAGGTCTAATTTTATTGTTTAGAGCTTGGGCTCTATATAAATTTTTTCCAATAGAAAGGGTACGGTTTGTATAGAGCCTAGGATCTAAATTAGAGCATACCTTCCAATAGTATCGAGAAATGTGGTTTCAATACCGAAAATCTTTGTGATAGCTTTAAAATATATTTTTATTTTTATTTATAAAGTTTAAATATTAAAAAGTAGTGTAGATCGATAGATAAATCTATGAAAACTTAAAAATTTTGAAAATTGATGGTTCAAAAATGTGATACGAAATATACTATTTTCAACTTGAAAGTTTTTTTTTTTTTCTTCTGATGTACATGTATCTTGATATCGAAGTCCTTCCTTTATTTTGTAAAGATACTCACGAAGTCATTCCTTTATTTTGTCATTTTAAATTTCAGAAACAAAAATTTATCTGAGAAAAAGTTTTTGGCGAATCTATTGACTCCTGTGTCTGCCCTGGGTCTCAATTATTTTAAAACCTAAATTCATGTTACATCAATGGGAATCTGTTTCCGCCTCAGATCTATGGATTTGGGCTCTAAAACAATGCATATCTTATAGTATTTTGAAAACCTAGAATCATCCCCGTAGTGAAGGTGATATATGTGTTGTTAGATTCGCTTTGGAACCTTGTTGTTAGATTCGCTTTGGAACCTTCTTAAGTTAGGTTAGAAAAATGAAGCAATTTAGTGTTTTGGCTGAATTGGGTAAAGTTTCGATTTTTCTAAATTTAATAAAAATAAATTATATATATTTGTATAAAGATATCTTATAATAATGAAAAAACTAATAATAAAAAAATTTCAAACAATTAAAAGAAAAAAGAAAAAAATAAAAAAATTTCGTTGCTTTAGCTGAAGATGTGCCCAAAACAGGACTAGGCTTCGCTTTGCTACAATCTAAGCCGAAAATATGAAGAAAATCAGGCTTCACTTTGCTTATGTCTAAGCCGAAGATTCGAAGGCTTCAGCCTCTTCCGTCAAAACATTTTGAAGCCAGATTGATAAAAACCAGGTTTGACTAAAATAAAAAGGTAAAAAGTGAGGCATCAAACTGCAAAGAGCCAGATTTTATGTAGATTATGGATTAACGTGGTTTTCACAATGGGAAAGATTTCTATATTTTCCTACAATAGAGAAAATATATTCTTTCCCTCCCATCGAGCCGTCCAAATTTGATCAAATGAGTCACTCATCGTTTGATCTTAGATCCGACACCTCAGAGTATTTTATTTTTAGTTTTTTTCTACAAATTGTATGGACATTAAATTTGATAAGTGCCATCTTTTCATTGGGGCACACCTAAAACAAATATTAATTTTTTTTGATAAAATGTAATAATCAAAATACCTCTTGAACTTTTAGGGGTATTATGGTCATTTTTTTTTGTTGAAAATAGTTTTTTATATTTTTTTACAAGTGCCCATTTTAGAGAGAACCGGATGCCTAAATTTTGGTGTGAAAATGTTTTGTAAAAAAAAAATTAAAAATAAAATAATGTAGAGGTATGACATTGTAATTCGAGCCATCTTAACCATTCATTCAAAATGGACGGTTGGATAAGGGGAAGTGTATAAGTTTTATACGGTAGGGGAAACATAAAAAGCTTGCCCTTTGACAATTAGCTACTTCTAAAGCACAAGAACTCTCTGTTTCATGAAAATATAATTCAAGCATGAAAAATAAAGGTCAAATATGAATTCTAAGCTATTAAGAAGTGCTCAAATGAGCTAAAAATTGTCACCCTTTTCTCCTCAAAAGTTGAGAAGTTTTAGTATGATTTCCTCGTTACGCGCCACAGACAATCTATGTGAGGCCCTCTCAATGCCTGCCTCTCTCTCTCTCTCTCTCTCTCTCCACTCACACTACCCTCCCCGTATTCGGTCCCCATCCTCCTCCTACCTACAAAGACTACCCAACCCCTAAGTTTGGAAGAACATACAACTAAAGAGCAACTAATTAGTAGAAGAAAATTAA